TCGGAAATCTTAAAGATGTATTTATAAATACAAATTAATATGAATTAAAGTAAAATAAAGTAATCAATTACAAGGTTAACTATAGTATTATTACAATGTTCAATAACTTATTAATTTAGGTACTATTAAATTGTTAGAACTTTAGGATTTAACCTGTTCAAATATTCATCCATCGACTGCTAGACAATAACCCAGGCGATCATAAAATTCTCTTCTTACATTCGCTAGTTGGTAAACTGAAATTCTATTGCATTCGGCAGAAATAGTATTTTTTAACTCGTCTAGATTTGGGTATTTGTTATCCTTGTATATTCTGTTTTTTAAATGGCCCCAGAGAAAGAAATCATTTGGCGAAATATCAGGAGACCTTGCTGGCCAATTTACTGTATGATTTAGGCCAATAACGTTTCCGTTAATTTGTCTTCCGTTAATTAATTGTCTAAATATTCCCGAACAGCCAGGGTACTATGTGCCGGACAGCCATCCATTTAGTACCAAACTTCCTGATTTTCCCTAGCGGTATCATGTAAAGCAGGTAAAATATGATTTTCGAGTAGTTCTAAATAATATTCTTCATTTAAATTTCGCGTAAGAAATAATGGCCCGATATTGTGTCCGAATATCCCTGCCCAAACATTTACTTTCTGTGGATATTGCATCCTTGATTCGACAAACCTGTGTTGGTTTTCTTTGTTCCAATATCGATAATTTTATGAACATTGGGTTCATTATTTAAGGTAAACGTGCATTTGTCAGTGAAACATATGTTTTTTAAAAATTCCCTATCCGTGTTTGCTCTTTCCATCATATCAAAATAAAACGCCTGCCGCCGGATTTCGTCCCCATCTCGTAGCTCTTGGTGCTTTTCATATTTGAAGGAATAGTATTTATGTCGTTTCAAAATTCGAAACGCTGTAGTGTGATCTATTCCTATTTAATCCTCAAGTTTCTTTGTGCTGATCTTTGCATCGTTCTCTTCCACGCACAATAAAACTTCCAAGTCGGTATCATTTCTTGCATCTTCTCGTTGTTCCTGCCTTGCTTCACATCTGCAGTTATTTATTAGGGTACCTTTGGTCTCAAATCTTTGGATATTCCTTGCGATTGTAGATTTTCCAGGTATCGGTCTATTCGGATACAGAGCAGCAAACATGTCCGACACCTTTTGATAATTATTTCCTTGATAATACCATTTAATCATCAATACTTTTTCTTCGGTAGTGTAATTCATGGCTAATATTTTCGATATAGGTATGAGTTTTTAATAATAAAAATAAAGCACTAAATAGATAAATTTCTGATATGACAACTTCATTTGACAGTTATCTTTTACCTTGACTGGTGCTCATAAATAAATACAGGGCCATAAGAAAGGAGAAATATTTAAAAAGAAATCGGCGATAACTCGTAAACGGGCTAATCAAAAATATCTAAAGTTATTCTTTTGAATGTGGGTTTTAGTGCTCTTCAATAAACCTAAATAGAATAATTCTGTAAAATAATTAGGGAGGACAATAATTGACCCCATTAAAATTTACATCGGATTTCCTATGTCCCATCCGACGATGCAGTACCCGGTATATTTATTTCCGTTTGTTATAAAATCGCTCAAATCGATGTATACAGTATGATGTGTACAGTATTTAAAAAATTGAAACATAAATAAAACTGCTGTTCAACGAAATATCTGTTTGTGAGTTTAGGTATGTATGTGTATATTTTTATATAATATATATAAAAATATACACATACATACCTAAACATTCTAAAACCATTTAAATGAAAATTCTATATGTATATTTCATATCAATTAAAATTTTAGTTACTTAATCGAGGGCGCGATTTTTAAATTCATTGTTGTCAACCATGGACATATTCGGCCCCATGCTAACTGGAATTTATATTTGGGGAGTATATATATAGCGCTGGGGATTCTGGTGGTAGCTCTGCTGTAAAAAATGTCAAGTTGCAGCATTTATTTATTTATGACATTGTCATTCGTTATTCCTGACATTGTCATTCGTTTTGACACTCTAGTTTTGTATTACGAGTTTTTGGTTTAAATAAATAGTTTTGTGATCCTTTAAGTTTGGAAATGTTCACCTTGCAGTCGAACACTGTTCTTTTTAGAACTTATTTTAGTGCGAAGTGTACAAGATAGCTTAATAGCCGTAAAAAACCCATCGCAATTTTATTAGAATATTTTGAACAGGAAAGTGGTAGTAATGGCCCTTTATGTCACTAAAGTGCTGTTAGGAAGGTGAATTTTGTTGATGTAAATAATAGGTAACTGTTTATATATTTATAATTAATTTATTTTTGTTTCCTAAAATATTTTGAGTAAAAGAAAATATGTAAAAGTGGACAACTCTGTGCTAGTCAAGCTTAATCACATTACTAACAGTTTATTTGATATGAACTATAGATTCTCATTTCAATATATCTTTCAAAAAGAGCTAAACTTTACATTCCGTTCATCACACAAACATAATATGAATTCATCAAACTGAAAAATAAAATGGCCGAGCAACATGAAGTAATTTTTGTGCAGCATTCTATCATAGGTCGGATGCAGATTATAATATTAATGAAAGGGTTATTCGAATATACGTTACAGAGGCATTCAATAGCAGCAAGCCGGGATAATTTGCAAATGAATCGAATCGTTTGCTGTAATTTTAAACCCCTGGCTATTTACAAAATATTCATTAATTACATTGGGCTAATTGTATTGTTATACACGGTGGTTTAAGTCTTGCACAGCATAATCTTGATAACTAGAAAATAAATATTTTTAAATATCTCATACTGGGTAAACAAATATCAATCTGAATTTTTTCTATTTATAACTTCACAAAGACGAAATGCGCATTAAGAATCTGCCTTAACGCAAATCTAGTTTTTACTAAAAAAAGTTCTTTTAGTTATGTGTTTATTGTCCAATATATCTCTGTCAATTTGTCAGTAAATCAATTATCATGTCTCACTGAAAGCTTGTTAGCACAAATGTTAGATCAACAAATATTGTGTTGCGAACATCTGTCCTTTGAAACCGGATGTCGTACACTGAGACCCAAACCGATATACCTTTTCAGAAATAAGACACCCTGTTAAAAAAACCTATGTCTCTGGTTACTTTATTCTAAATTGATGATTATTATTTGGTTTTAGTTAAAATAGTGGTTAGCGTGACATTGTCAAGCCAACTAATATCGTTTTAGGGAAAGAAGTGAGTATCTATCAGAGACATGGCAACAATATGCGGTATTAAGGGAGTCGTTATTGTGACAACTTTGAAATATAGAAGCTTCATTCAGAACCTCGCCATTAGTGGAATAAATTAGTGGTTTCCATTAGCGTAGAAGTGTGTTTCTTTAATTTCAATGTAAGCATTCAGAACGTCAAAATTTGTGGTAATCTTTTTCAGTTAGTAGAAAAAGTTAACAAACTTTTGACTTTTCCACTAATTATACTACAAAATTTGCGAGGAATGTCATTTTGGTCTTTGATTATCATCCGTCAAGAGAAATTGTGGTTAAAAATCAAAAGTTCATTGTTTTATAAGCTAAATATTAAGCTCTCTCTATGAATACAACTGACTACCGCAAGCTGTTGCTAGGATATTCGATTCATTTTAATTAGCATTGTGAATGATCGTAAGCTAAAAAGTATAAAGTGTAATTGAAACCACTAATTTATTCCACTAAATGCGAGGTTCTGAATGAAACTAAAGTATCATAGTAAGAGTTTATGCACTAATAACGTTACCGCATGTCGCTGTTTACCTAGAGAAGAAGCCATGGGATATTTTGATATTTCGGAAACCTTATGTTGGCAACCGAGATTCTGTAATTTAAAAAAAGCCTGAAGGGATAATGGCTTGATTATTTGTATTTTTCCACCTCTTTCTGTTCTTTGCCTATATTCTTCACCCATTAACTTGTATCCTTATCAAGGCCTCTTCAACATCCCTTTTCATCTGGTCCTCAGTCCAGTACACTCCTCTTTCCATCTATTTCAGGTATTATTATCATTTTAGAAACTCTTGTTACAGTCAGTCCTAGCCATCTCAGCCTTTGTGCTCTTGCTGCTTCCGTTATACTAGGTGCACGATTAAGCTGCTTTACTTTTTCTTTTGTTCCTCTGGTCCACATGTTGTCTATCTTCGTGCCTCTAAAAATCTTCCTCAGTATTTTTCTTTCCTAAATCTCTAGCCTCGAATTTTTTGTTACATTGAACGTCCACATGCATATAGTAGGTACTATTGGTCGTATCATTGTTTTATACTTTCCGACTTTTAAATTTCTAGAGATTTTCTTCTTCTTCTTCTTCTTTGTCAGCCTGGTTCCATCCAGTGTTGGATATAGGCCTCTTCTAGGTTTTTCCATGCTTCGCGATCTCTAGCCAATCTTATCCATTGCCTTCCCGCCACTGCCCTGACGTCATCGACCCATCTCTTTTTTGGTCGGCCCACACTTCTTGTTGTTCCCCTAGGTCTCCATAGGATTATTTTTTGGGGCCATCGGTCTGGATCCTGTCTTGCCACATGTCCTATCCATTGCCACTTCAGACTCGCCACTCTTTTAGAGATTTTCTTACTCTTTATCATTCCCTGTTGTGCTTTTACACATCTATTTCCAGTCATTATTTTTGACATCATTTTCTGAGTTACATTTTGTTTCCTTTTAAATACGGTTCCTAGATATATGAATACTTACTCTAACCTGTCCCGTTTCCCTCTCTTAGAATTTATTTGTAGACATCTTGAAGATTAATAACATCGGTAAATTATGATTCACTTATTTTAAATAATAGTTAGAGCAATCCAGAATTCCACATCAATATCTGGCTTACTTTTTTGTATATAAGTATTAATTTAACTAAACTTAGCAAATTATTTAACCAAAACCCAATAAAACAGAAAATGCAGAAATAAAAGTTAAGTTAAAATCGAGATTACAGACTGTCGGGCTTCAAAAAACAATCTGCGCTATTTTGTCATGCCGCAAAAATTCGATAAAGGTAAATGTACAAAATAATGTCTGCCCTGCGTACTACAAAAATTATGTCTTATTATTAATCAAATGTTGTACTCATGTAGTCCGAGCATAATATTTGACTAATATCATACTGTATACCGATTATGGAGTTTTATCTCCAATATAGAATTCTGTTGCAGTAGTTGTTTGCTATACATACAAGATATTGCATTTGATCTTTTATTATACTATAAAATAAAATAAATTATTTTCAGATATTGAAAATAGAAACACCATAGAAGAAAGCGAACTAACGAACAGTTTTACGGAAAAACCGAAAAACCGAAATAGCTATCACCAGAACGTGGAGGAAGCCCTCAGTTCTCTTCTATGGCAACCGTACGAATACCAAAACAACAATAATACGCCGTACGACTTTTGTGGAAATGGCAATTACGAAGAATCCTATTCATCATGGTAGGTATTACTGTCCGTACAATATTTATTTTTTATTCGTGTTAAAAGTATAATAAAAAACATAAAAATAATAATAAAAAATATATAAAAAATAGATTAAAGATAAAAATTCAAAACAGTTATAAACCTAAAATTGTAAAAAAAATAAAATATTTGAACATAGTACAAACACTAAATATTATCAGACGAAATATTATCAATATTGATACCATTTTATTTGGCCTGCAAGAGGTCGTCATGCGTACAGGAAACTGGACACTGAGGACAGTTGTATTAGTGTCTGGTGGTTTGTTGATACCACATTCTCCTATTGTTGATGGATTTCTAAGATAATTCCATTTTTCAAATAAGAGAAACAATTATGAATGTAAAGGGTCGGTTTCGTCTAATAAAGGAAAAATTGTTCACGAAATCAAAAAAGTACCTATAATTAATATCCTTGATAACAAAAAATATCTTTCTAAGATATACAAATTCAAAACCTATAAAAAATCGAACAAAAAGAAAACAAAACTCATCAATGACCTCGGATGTTGAAAGGCTGAAATATATCTTTGTGTATTGACAAACATGCCAGTCCATTTAATCAGTTCTGAAAAAAAAATTACAATTGAATTATTAATAATTTTTTTATGTAAAATTTAAAAATAATCTTACCTCGGTCATAGAATTTCTTGGATATGCTTTATCCTCTTCAGGGTTGAAAAGGACCTCTCTGTAGTGGCATTTGATACAAAATATTTGGATATATTTCCGTATTGCAAATTCGTAAAGCACGCATGGCATTTGGACTGGACACCCCACGATTTCTTGAATTTGAAGCCACCCAACCAAACCAAATCAACATTTTTTAAGAGTGTCATCTAAGTTTTGAATAAGTTTGGAAGTTTGTAATAAGTTATTGAGACTTGTTTCCTTAAAATCAGATGTTTTAATTTTATACTCTGTTTAGCTATTCTCCTGATCTATTCTGACCAGATTTATACGAAAAGTATCTGCTCTAAATTCATTACCCTTGGAAAATATTGACAATGACTAGTTAATACTTCTAATTAGATGTCTAATTCATTATTAACATCCTAGTGATTACAAAGAAGAACAATGCAATGACAATGCTATTACTGTATATCTCATGTAAAAAAAGAAAACAGTATTTAAAGTAATTAAATAATACAACACTTCCATGAGAAAACATTGAAGAAATCGTCATAACTGCAATAAATGACATGTACCACAGGTAATGAGAAGTAAAGAAAGGCAACGTTGCATTTTCTGTATAATCAATAAATAGTTTTTATACAGGGTCCAGCAATACTGTGTCGGACATCATTAGTTCCTAGAATAAAAGACTTGAGAATTATGTTTAAGTGCAAACCTAAAGCATGTACGAGGATGTATTTCAGGAACATATATTAACTTTTATAGGATGGCTCAAAAAAGTATGAGTGGATCGGGATATTTTTTTTAAATAGAACACCCTGTATATTATTACATTTTTGGCTTCCTTTTAGATCACTTTACATATTTTAGAGATATTAAAAATAAATAAAAAATATATATTTTTCAGCCTTTCTTAATAAAAATTATTACAAATACAAGAACTTTCCTAAAATCAAAACTATATTAGGTATTTACTTTAGATGGTCTATACTTACTTTGCTATAAATATCGTAATCTTAAATCATACAGTGTGTTCAAAATTCTACGCCAAATTTTCTAAAGTATTAAATAATTTTTCTTTGTTTTTTTTTAATGGAACACCCTGTATATTATTTTTTATTAGATGGAGAGTTAAAAAACTACCATTTTTTGTATTTAAATTATTTCAAAATTTTCAATTTGTCTCGCAGATACACGTAGTATTATTTCAATGGCTTTTTGAATGGTAAAATACGAGAGAAAAATGGGAGAAAAAAAATTACTGTGGAAAACGCCATATGAAATATAAAACCGCGAATATCTGCACATAAAATGCATACAAAAAATGTTAATTATTTAATTCTTCATCTATTGACAAAATAATATACAGTGTGTTTCATTAAAAAAAACGAAGGAAACTTATTTTATATTTTGGAAAGTTTGGTGTAGAATTTTGAACATAATTCCAAAGTTTTTAAGAGCTACAGATACCCGACGCGCTATTGCCGAACACTGTATATTTTCTGTAATTAAAGATATAACAGATTTAATAAATATATATTAAAATCACTTTGTATCCCTGTTTGTCAGTTTCAAAGGTGAACTAGAAATTTGGCATAATATTAAATTTTGGAAGCAATAATATGTCAGTTAATACTAAAAAAATAAAGTATATTGGATAAAGTTAGGCTTATGTTCGTCAAAAAATATATAAAACAAAAATTTTTGCATGGCCGAAAAGACTATATGAATACGACTATAACTAAATATTTTACTTTGCAATTAAATTTTTGAATTAAAATTGATTATGGCTCATCAACCGTCCGCAAACCCGTTAAGCCGTCCCTTTCATCCTCGGCCTGTCCGGCGACTAACAAATAACCCTTTATGCGTCAAAATTTGAATAGCTAAACAACATAGCTTATATTTCATTCCGGGGTATCAAAGCCCTTAGCTATATCGGACGTATCGAGCGGGACGCACGTGTCTGCTTTGTTTGACGCCTAATTCCCCGCTAAAATCCCGGTAAACATCTTCGTCTTGAGAGCGGATAGGTGCGCATTAAAATTGATGTAGGGGATTATAGGTATCGATTTATTCTATATTGTAAACAATTTATTTAAGAGAAAGTAGATAAAGAAATTAGAAAAGATATCAAAATAAAACACCAATTCACCACAATACACCAAAACACATTACTTTTAACACTGGACGGGCGTTTGGCTAACCATGCTAGCAGCGTTAGTTATCCCGTGGCTTAAAAATGACTTTTTTATATATACTTTTATATATTTTTTTACATAGCAACTGTTAAAATTTATCAAAAATAGTAGATAAAATAGTACTTTAACCGCAAGGGTAGATTAAATGATACTTTAACAGCGAGGATAGGTTAAAAACTTTATTTCTTCTCGCACGTTTTTTAATTGCTTCCAAAATTTTTGTATTCCTTTTCATAAGTTATTCGGGATTTAAATGGAAGTAGTTTGGATATGGCGTTTGTTGCCTCAGTCTGAAAATCTGTTGGTAATTTACTTATTTCGTTTTGAGCCATTTCTGGCTCCAATTCAATCAGCAATCGACACGAAAGAGAATTAAAAAATATTGACTCGTAAATTAACATAAGGCAACGTCGCAGGTCAAGTGTTAATGTGAATTAGAATTTTATCCCTTAAATATATTCAAAAAGTGGAGTTATCTATGAAATAAATTAGAAAATTCAAATTACAAGTTATAAAGTATATTAAGATAGAACGGGTGAGTGAAAATCAGTTGATTCAGACTTCACGAAAAGTAGTTTTTGAATATCTCTAAAATACTTCTATCACATAGAAGAATTTAAAGAATTTGCAATATTTAGCAAGCAACGTTACAAGTGTCTCAAAATTTACTGCTGTTTATCGATAAAATGACCCAAGAAATTAAATTAGGGGATTTATACACGCTCTTGAATAATATTAACGAAAATGTTTGCAATAAGATTGATAACATCAAGACAGACCTAGATAATCTCAGCTCTAAAGTTGATAAGCAGCTTTTTTTTCCTTCAAAGTAAAATTGAAGTATTAGAAACAAAAAATAAGGAATTAAAACATCAAGTATATCTTACACAAAAACTTTTAAAGAAAAACAATTTGATAATATATGGAATGCCAGAGAGAAATAGTGAACATCTTGTGGAATCTATAATAGATCTTGTAAAAGAAAAACTCGATATAAATTTGAAGATAGAAGATTTATCGGAGTGTTTCAGATTTGGAAAAAATATAACCAAAGATCGACCTATCCTTATAAGCTTAGTGTCTTGTTTAAAAAGAACGGAACTCCTTAAAAATAAGGGAATACTCAGAGGAACAAATATATTTATAGACGAAGATTTAGTAGCAGAAGATAGAGTGAAGATAAAGGTTTTAGTCGAAAAATTGAAAGAAGCAAAAGCTCAAAACAGAAACGCTAAGCTAAAAGGAAATAAGTTAGTAGTTGATGGTATTAGTTATATTAGTGGCGATTTTAAAGAAAAGTATTATCAAGAAGCATCCGGATCCAGAACGTTGTCATTTCTCCAAGAAATGAAGCCATACAATTATCCACAATCGCAGACTGAGGTAGAAAAACTGCAAACTCAAAAAACTGGAAAATTACTAAATCATAATAATATTGGAAATAGCGAAGATCTACCAAGAGAAGATATACCGGGTTCCGAAAGAAAACGCAAGGTGCACGACATATCTAATATATTTCCTGAAACGAACGTGAAACGAGCACCTCCGTATCGAACGCGAGCGAATTCCAACAAATATTCATAAATTATTTTTTTGTGAAACCGTTGTAAAAAGATTAGGATATTTTTAACTATAGATTAAAATTAATATGTTTTTATTATTTATATTTTTTTTGTTGATAATTATTCTGTGAATTATTTTTTTTTGAGTATTATAGAAAAATGTTAATAAAGATAGCAATAGCAAGGTATAGAAAAATAAGAAAAAATATAAGTAGTGGTCAGAATTATATTAATGGAAACGATTAACATATTGTATTTTAGTTATATTTTTAGGCTGTATGTATGAATGTAATCTGAATTGGTATTTGTTGATCGCATAGAAAACCTCGCACAAAAAACTTTTAGTTTTTTCAGAGGTAAATTTATGTTTATTGTATATTTATTGATACATTGTAACTTATTGAGTATATAAATAAACATCATATATTATATTATATTAACTGACAACTAAAGAGACAGCTTTATTTATTTGTCAAATTACATAGAAACCAACGCCAACCCAGCACAATATTTTTTCTACTCGTAATAAATTCCTTGAAATAATAATTTCTCAATATTTTTTAAAACGTAACTCGCTATGGAAAAGAATATTGTTATATACACGACGATAAAATTGCATTATCCTCTCCCGAAATTAATTCACTCGCGATTTCATCGATCGTGAATTAATCTTTTCGGTCGACGATAAAATACCATTTTATCATCTTGTATAAAAAATAACTATATTAATACTGTCATTGGAGTGGTCAGAATTAAAATGGATCAAGTCAAGTTTCCTATTATTTTAAGATAATCGCATTATGTTTATAAAATATTGTTTTTTTTTCAGTAAAGAAATCAATCAAGTCATACTACACGCATTAAGCAACTATAGCTTGTTTATGTTTGGTTTCTGAATATTCTGTTGATTCCTTTCAGAAGTGAACTGGATCAAGTCCATAAAATATAACGCTGTGCGCGATTTTAACACAAGTGCTAAAGTTTGGAGCTAAAAAAATCATTTTGATAAAATAGATGACATAAAAATAAAGTGTGAACCATTTGCACCAAGTGAATCAGATTATCAGCCATCTGAAAGGTCTGATTCTATCAATTCTGGAAATATTGTTTGATTTATCATTATTCACTATTACTACATCAATAAGTTAGGCTGTTTTTCTTACAAATACTTAGATATATGTTGTTGATCTGAATTAAACTACACGAGGAAGAAAAATTTTATCATTTCATATAGACGTAACGTAACACACTCTAAAAGGGAACACATGAAAGATCTTCCGTTTATCCCGCCTATATACCATAATTTTTATAAAAATTGAAGAAAACACTATTAATAAACAATGTGAAGTTAACAAATCCCTTAATGACGAAGAAGAATGTACCGATGAACATGAACTAATTGGGCAGCTATGGGTGGTTAAATGTAAGAATAACTTTTTTTGTTAAATTTCGCCACCCTTGTTGCATGATGTGTAATAATATATGTAATGTTACACATCTTTTTTTTCTTCAATAAAGACGATTATTATTATTATTATTATTATTATTATTAATTTATACCTAAAATTTCAAATATTTTCAGAGATAAATGGTTCAGAGATAAATGGTTCAAGTCCAAAAAAGTATAAACAAACATTCTTAAAAACGACCACAGTTGTATTTTGAATTACTTTAGTTTGCAATTATACAATTTAAAATATAAATGATAAAACATTGTGTCAATTTTTCTTCTTCAGCTTGTTTTATTTTAATTAAGTAATATTAAAAAACTTTAACTCTTATTTTCTCCATAATTATCTTCTAGGACTTCATAGAGTTCATTTCTGAACCCTTTAATTATAAACTTCCTAGCTAATACTAGTAGGTAACCCTAAAGTGTAACCCTAAAATGTAAACCCATTTTCATGTAAAGATTGTAATAAAAAATATGTTGGGCGAACTAGAAGATCAAGTTTAACTAAATTTGAAGAACATATGGCTCAGATAAGATACAGTAGAGTGGATAAATCTTGCGTTGCTCTAAGCTTGCGTTGCATATTTTTGATAAAGATCACTGTAACTGTATAGAGATTAATAATTTAAAATTAATCAAAGAAGTCTCCAATTACAGACAATAAGATGCATATGAGAGTGTCACTTCTTTGTTCCCTATTTCCTTCCACTTCTTTGTTCCCTATTACTCTAGTCCCGCTAATTTATTGTTACACTCGATTTGATTTGCACTCGCTTGGCTAATTTTTATGTTATAATAAAATCTGAGCTTTAATCATATGCCCATGCTAACATGGTTAGAGAAACGCTCGTCCAGCGGTAAAAGTAGAGTGTTTTGTAGAATTGGTGTGTTATTTTTTGTTGTAACACCAAAGGTTCCAACTCCAACCATCAAATGTAATAAGCTGCAAAACATAAAATTTTACTTTATTTTTTAAATTTTTTTTAATTACATTTTATCACTTCAGAATTAAAATTCACAATTAAAAAGCAAATTTTTTGTAATTTAGTTCTCTAGAATGTTCAATGGTACCAAAATTTTAATAATCTATTATAAAGGCTTATGAATATAAGCTTCTCCAACTCAATGGGTGCTAATTTTCCAAGATCCAGAGATCTCCTGTAAAAATGAGTTGTACATTTCACATAAAATGTCCCTGTTGTATCCAGTGCATTATCTCCAATAGTCACTTCTGTTGTCTCTAGTTTCTGTTTTTCTCTAGTTTTTCAAATGATATAAATGTAAATAATTTTTTTTATTTAGATTGAAAAACTTCTTTATTATAGATCAGCATTTTGTGTGCAAGTTTTTCTAAGATTCATAACTTTTAGTGTTAATATTATCAAATGTGCTGAAGAGAAAGTATGATATATCTTACCTTATTGAGAATTAAATTAAACTTTTCACGATGCAAACATTTTTTGCATAAGTGAACCAAAACACAGAATGTACTTCGTTTCTTCTTAATTTCTGTGCTAAAGTTGTATACTTTTTCGCTTGTGTTTGACTAGTGGTCCAACAGGAATTTCTTCTCAGTAGCCATTATGTTCATAATGGATTGTTAAAAACTTTTAAGGAAACTAAAGGAATGAAAATGGAAATGTTACGAATTACTATTTAAGAAAATATACGTCCAACATGTGTTTTTCGATTACAAAACATATGATCTAAATTGATTATGAAAATAAATTAGACCATTTATAAATTATTTCTGTAATAATTGATACAAAGCTTACATGCCTGAAATACCTAAAAGAAAGTGTTTAGTGTAAGTATTTCAGATTTTATTGAAAAAACATCTGTATTAATAAATAGATTTATGATATATCAGTTGATAATAAATGATTTAGTGGGTATCAAAAAAGAATTAATGCTAGCTTTGAAGTGATAAGCTATAGATACATAAATATTCTCCCACATATATTTCCAGAACCCTCTTTCTGACAGCTGATCTATGTTTGCAGTTCTTATACGCCCTCTTCGTCTCCACTCAGCCTCGACCTTGACGACAACGCCGATTCAACCGCCGCCACCAGCCCGTCCAGCACAAAGAGACCCGCACCATCTCCGACGTTGCCGCGATGCACCGCGGTACCACCGCGAGACCTACATTCAGATGTTATTAACCTGGAGCGGACACCGTACTTGCACCAATGGGACGTCGAGGAGCGGTCACGTGGCCGCTCGCTGCGGCGATCGAGCAGCGCGGCAGTTCCGCTCGCCAGTTCGCACTCAGACGCAATCGCGCGCGCTTCGACCGTCGCGACGCCCCCGACGTCATGCAGTGATGCCTGTACCAGCGCGATTTCAGGTAGTTTCAATATGCAAAACGGCGCGAGTACCCAAACCGGTGTCACAGACGGAGGGTCGCAACAGGCCCAGGCGCTCAAACCCCCAACGGACAATTCTTTGAATGCGGTCAATATCGTCGGTCTGCCGAGGTTTCAAAACGGCCACATTGCGGCAAGTAGGTCGCAAAACTCCGCCGCCGGCTATCCGCAACACTTCAGAAACGTGTCCGAGCCCGCGACGCAGTTCTTTAGGTATCCCTCGGGTGGTACCGTACCGACAGTTCATCAAAAAACACAAGGAAACTCCGTCGGATCCGGTAATCCTACGGACCAACACAACCTGCAACTAATTAACCATTTCCGGAGTAGTAGTGTGCCTAAATCCATCGCTTTAGCTTCTAAATATGATGTGACAACCAGTTCGGGTCCACAGAACAATTTACGTACGAGTAATAGTTCGACATTACTCCAAACTCCATCGGTAGTGAATAACAATGGTGTTCAAGCTAATGCCACAAGATTATTGCATACTAGATCGCTAGTGTCACCTCAAAGTTCAGCGCAGGAGGATGGTGGCATTCAAAATGTTAAACCTTCGCCAACAAAATCTCTTCCATCTTCAATACTGCCTGCTGCACCGAACAATGCCAACATTAGCAACATAAATGTGAATTTCTATCGAGCAGTTCCTGTCAACGTAGTCGGTTCGGTACCAACGATTCATTGTATGAATACCTTATCTAACAATGAAGGAAATAGCGTTTCAAACGTACAGGTACTGCCTCTGGGCAATAACAACCAACAGCTAGCGTTACCCAATGCTGCACATTCTAGTTTTGTTAATAGCGCACAGCCACATGGATTATCAAATAGGACTGGTATTCATAGCACCCAAGTGACGGTTCGGAACACAAATGCCATTCAAATCGGTCACGCCGCTGTTGACAGTAAGATCCTCACGACCACGGTCGGTTATCCCGAATCGAGTTACAAAAATACCGTTTCCGGTACTACTGTCGGAAATGTTATCATTCACAACGGTACGGAGAGCGTGCGAAGTGCCTCCGGGCTTCAGGTTACTGGGATCAGTGGTCAAGAAGTCAACCGAGCCGCGTTGCACAATAAGGTCGTACCGACGACGACGACGAATTTGTTTACAGGTGACGTAACGCATACTGCGGGTGTCCCTGTCAGCAACAATGTGGTTCAGATACAGACCAACGCCGGCGTCAACGCGATTCGTTCACCTGTCTTCATTTCTGAAGTACCATATCAGCAAGGAGGTCGAATAATAACCACAACGGCACAGATAAATAGTAACGCGATGGAAGGAAATGTTTCGAATGCTACGCAAGGATTAAACAATAGTTATTCGGGGAATGGTACGAATATAGTACGGACAAGGACTTTTACCAGTACCGAGGCACAAACGGACGATATCTTGCCTGTGACTCAATGCACTTTAGCTCAAAACCAACCCGCTAGGGAGCAAAGAAGACGGGAACGAAGAGAGAGGAGACAGAATCGTAGAGCAAACAGTCAACTGGTTTCTAGGAATACCCACGATAGCGGTATCCAAACTGGATCTACTAACATCACCCCATCCCACAACAACCAATCGTCATCCAACGAAAGTCGTCTTCCAGATATCCTGAATAGCCATCTCCCGCCGCCTTATACGCCTTTGCCCAACGCACAAAACACCTCCCTTATTCCGCCGGTACCGCCGCAGATTCTACCGCCCCCGCCACCGCCGATGGTGCCAGGGGCGGTGATGCCAAATCATCACGCGTCCATACTGCAAACGGTTGTTCCGAACGGGGTTCCCGCGAGTGCCTTTGTGTTTCCCGCGCCCCAGCAAATGGCCCCCTTGATGCAGGGGGCCGCTCCGGTACCTGTGGCAGTACCCGCCACCGCAGCGGGTGGATTTAGATTTGGATTAGCTCCGAGCGCTTTTAGAAGGTAAGTTTGGACATTTAAAATTGAATTTCATTTGTATTCAAATACTATTAATACATTTTTATTTTTCACTTATGGTGTAGGTGTAGTCTTTTTATTTGGATTGAGGTCAACAAAAGACACTTAGAAGTTTATAATTTTGTGTTTCGTCGACGTTTCGATCAATATCTGATATATCAGGAGTTTTAGAATACCCCTATCAGTGATGATACTACTACTGATTCATACTCCATTCAGCGTACAATTAGTATTCACTTATACCTTTCTTTCTTTTTACTGTACCTATTTTTCTATTAAAAAAACTCGTAAAAAAGGAAAAATATAAATAGTAACTCTACCCTAGAATTCTGGAAACCGGATAAACCTGAAGAAGATTCAATACTGATCGAAATGAATATTGAATATAAAATTGAGAACTTCTATGTAATATTTTACTGACGTTTATACAAATAAAACACTGCATCTTATTGTTCAAATTGTTTGAGGTCCCAGAAAAAAAAAAATTTCCAAATTTTTGCACCCAAAAGTTGGTTTGGTTTGTAAAAAAATGAGGGCTCAGTGCCCACTTAGACACCAATTATTGTAGTTTTTTAATAAAAGTTTTTGGAACTGAATACTTGGATCAAGACTTGGATACTGAAGATCGCTTAATAGTTTTGAGAAGTTTTAGTTTCCTTATGAAAATATATAAAGATAAGACAATATACAAGTGTTTATCTTAAAACAAAGTTTAATCTTCTACTAAAATAGATAATGGATACAATTCTAAAGACATGGAAGGGACTAGAACACAAGGCATAGCCTAGAAAATATTCTAAATAATAAATGGTTTAAGACTTCAATGGCTTCTTCCAACAGAGTAGAAAGTAATGGATAATGTAAGAAATGTAATGGATAATGGATTAAATTTATTTCCAATTGCAAGAAAACCTCGAAGAAACTATACATAAAGACATTATATTCAAATACTTACTAATTTAAACTCTAAATGCATGTTTTGACAAATAGAAACACGTTTTGCTTGCTAATCATCTACTGTTAATGTTAGCATTAGCACATTGGCAGATGATTAATATATTAAAATTTCTCTTCACTTTTAATTATCTGCTGAAGAAGAGAAAATGCATTGCCTTGCATGTCTCCAAAGTTTTGATGTATTATATCTTTGTGTCATCATAATCATCATTTTCAGCATATTCAACCATTTTCAATTATGGTGTAGCCTCCCTTACATACTCTCTTTGTAGTTGGGCCCATTGTTGTCTATTGCTAGCTATGCGGGCCCAAGTCATCCCTGCTAATTTCCTAATATTAAGGTCCCATCTCAGGTTCGGTCTTCTTCTAGGTCTTTTAAATCCTCGTGGTTTTTCTTTGCGTTCCATCTGTTATCCGTTCTTCTTGCCAGGTGTCCTACCCATTGCCATCTGAGGAGATCTTTAGGATTATTAAAAAAACTGCAAACCCTAAAGTCCTAGTTTTTATTCATGTTATATGTTCACAAACCTCACAAGGTTGTTAACCTAATCGTATTTTTAGAACGTTAGAAAGTATTTAGATTTTATTTTACAGAAAAAAAATCTAATTAATCATAGTTCATATTTTTAGTCAGGGTTTTTGAAAAATTGTGCAACAAGTTGGAGACTGGTAATGACTTTTCATCCTCGGCCGAAAGAGAGGCCATAGGGGCTATATAAAGAAGCCTTTTCTAGTAAGTTTTCTAGTAACTTATGATTATATTTTATTAAAAAGATTTGAGAGAAAGTTGGCTTTAGATAATGTCATTGTAATCGTTCAAAGTCAGTTGGAGTTTTTTAATGCATCCTGTTTTCAATGTTTAAGTAACTAGCGCCGGTTAGTAAGAGTGAATATGTATATTATATAGTTTAGCTAAGTTTTAACACAAAATTAAAAATGTTTATTATAGTCTATCACCCGTAGAAAAAAATATCAATAATATTATTTGTTTTGTGACACACGACATTAACCTACATAAAGATATACTTAACCTCTGATTTAACTGTAACCTGCAAGATAAAAGTGGTGTCAAACTCTCAAAAGTGGAATTGGTCGATTAAAAAATATTAAACCTTTTTAAAGATCCAATTAGAAAATGAATCCAATTAGAAAATGAAAATGTTTTAATAGATGTAATTTTGCAATAAATATTATTAAATGGTTGAAAGTGCTTTCACTTGGTTGCGTGTGAAAATAAGTTAAACAATATGATTTATAATTAAAGTTCTTTGTAATTACGTCTTTACTTCTTTTAGAAATTTGTTTTTAAACTGGTAATCGCATGTTTGGAGATATTCTTAAAAAAAACAATACAATAAGTAGTTAGCTAAAGATAAAGAAAGAAAATGTTCTATCAAATTGAAGAGGTCTCACATTTTTTGAGGAGGTCGATTTAATCTTACTCTTAAGTTGCCTCGCGTTGCACGTTAGCACATTCATTTTTCTGATCATATTATTTATGATCATGATTAGTAGACTGGTATACGGGATTTTCTTTTACAATATGATTCTAACAAATATTTTGATTTGCCGAAACAACTAATAAAATGTTTTTATAGTATAACATAAATTTCTACGACCGGTCTACCTAGTGGTCTGCAGCATCGCCTTGTGGTGCAAACGTGGGCCTGTTAATCTGTGATGTGACGCACAACAGCCAAGAAAAACAGAAGCGTGGCTAAGAATTTAGTAATTTAAAAAAAAGTCTTTAGTAGTAGGTATTAAAAAGTTTTGTGTTTAAATGGGGTTTGCCTTTAACAGTTAAAAAATTATATCGTAAAGTGTAACTTTTCGTAAGAATTCTTTATCTGTCATTGATCATGATCTGTCATCATGTTAACCTGATGTTTTGTATGTTATTTTGTTTTTTTCGAGGTTTTTTTGCTTGCTTGTTTTACGGATAGGTGCGATCGCATAATTATTATTGATAATGTTTTATTTAATGTTAACACTACTACTTTTTCAGTGAATCTTTAAATCTGTTGTTTTTTGTTAAGTTCGCTATTTAAACATATGTATGTAATACACTCATATTAACACTAATCATATTTTTACGTTTTTATTCATCATTTTCAATGCCCCCCCGGTTGCATCTTTGTAAAGGACTGTGAATTTTTTTATTATATATTTTATTTAAATCTTTATTAATGACTTACGAGAGAGTCTGAGGGTGTTTTTGGTTGAAGTTGTTGTTTGCTGATACTGTTAAACTATTTAAATATTAATATTAATGATACTAGGACTTTTTAGAGTGATTTGAACTTGGTTCTAAACAGCTTTAAGGAGAACAATATGCTTGTTAATGGAAAGGATTATGTTGTTTCTTGTTCCCGGAAGATGAATACAGTCATTGAAAACTACTGCAATGGAAATTTTAAGTTGTGGGGTGTAAGGAAGTTAAAGACCTTGGAGTTGTTTTAAGGACAATTTTAATTTTAATAATCCTCGTAATAATCATAACAACTATCTGATAAATAAGACATCAAATTCTTGGTTTTGTGATGCGTAACTTTCAAAGATTTTGATATACAATTATCTATAGACTACCTATTTATTATACCCTCGATTGTACCTCGTAAGACCGCATCTTGAATATGCCACGAACATCTGGTCTCCTAATTATTGTACTTACAGTTACGAGATAGACAAGGTTCAAAAACGTTTCCTTCGTTATATGTTTTTATTAAAAGAAACAACGTATTTCCAATAATGGTCTCTTGCAAATCGATATTTCTTCAACATATCTCCTTGGTGTTTGTTGACAGAAATAAGAACTATTCCAAATATGACGTTTATACCGAGTGTCCAAAATTCGAGGGCGGTTCATTCACTCGCAAAGTCCAAAAGTTCTCGCAAAGTCCAAACCAAATATGACGTTTATACCGAGTGTCCAAAATTCGAGGGCGGTCCATTCTCTCGCAAAGTCCAAAAGAAAAAAGACTCGGTCTCAACATTTTATTTATTAAATGTTTAGACCAAGACTTTTTGGGCCTTTTTTTTATTTATCTTGGGATTTTTATAAACCAGGTCTCTTTGGGAATAATGGACGCCTTTTTTAAATCTCGCAAACTATAAGCGACTCGATACGAGATAAGAATGGGGTTAAATTATGCCACTTTCGCAATTTTATATCCTATAAAAGGACGTTTTCAAAATTAAAAAATCAAAACACTTCCGAAAATCTTTGGAAAAAAAGCAAAATGTTGTAAAGTAGATTTTATTTTAACAGTAATTATCATAATATACCGTATGATCGGAAAACGTCTTCAAAAATGGCGTCAATGGGAGAATGGATGGGGAATCATAATCGATGATAATTTTGGCGAAATCAATCTCTAAACGTCATTTAGTAAACATAAAAAATTAACATAAAACTTGTCAATAATTCCAGACACACAAATCTATTTCCAAAAAATATATTTTTCTGTAATATTAAATTTCACCATTCAAAAATAATTTTTACTCATTATAAAAATAAATTACAATCTTCTTAAGGCCAACTGGCAGTAAGCGCCATTAAAAAATAAAGAAGAGTATAGGACAAGTAAATGACGTCTAGGGCTTGACCTCGCCGAAATTATCATTCCCCAGCCGTCTTTGACGCCGTTTTTTTTCAATCGTATGATATTTTGCATAATAATACCTATTATAATGTATTTTTCGAATGCTATGTAATATAATGTTCTTTTTCAAAAGAGCACTTAATCTCCTGCTCCATAAATTCGTAAAAATTCGTCTTTATTTAAATTGAGTTCGGGCCTAACTATGCTTCTCGTAATTTATGAGAAATAAACCGACTTCGGAAAAGGTCAAAAAGTCGAAACTTTTTAAAGAAGTCGCGTAAAACTCCAGAAATTCAATTAAGTTTTCTTTTTGTGAAAGTTATGAAAATTTTAGTAACTGGGATTGGAAGTTTTCCCCTCTTTACCTGTAACATGATTGAGAAAAAGAATATTTCTTTACGTATATATTTTATTTTTTTTATCGCA